GTGTTTTATTGTACTTATACATGTAGTGAAAGTTCTCTGTATATTCTCCAGGTCTAAGTTTGCCTGCCTTGAAAGGCACTGTTAGTGTACAGCAATATTCCAGCCTAGAGAGAAACAATTTGAAGAGAATCATCATTGGTTTGGCCTCCCTAGTTTTGAAGGTTCTCATTATCCATCGTATTATTTTCCTAGCAGATGTAGTAAAGACATTGGTGTAATTTTTGAAAGTGAGTTTCTCTGACATTATCATTCCCAGGTTTTTCACGTTAGTTTTTCGCTCTATTGTGTGATTAGACTTTGTTTTATACTTCGATCCAGTTTTTATTTCCTCGAGTTTTCCATACCAGAGTATTCAAAATTTGTCTTCATTGAACTTCATGTTTTCTGAGACTTGGTTAACCCTTTGAGGGTCGACAGGCCCTCTCTGAGACTCATTCTCAGGGTCGGCCAAATTTAAAAAAAAAAATAATTTTCTCTTATGAAAAGATAGAGAATCTTTTCCCGATCATAACGACACCAAAAGTTTGAAATTTGATGGAAAACTTACGGAATTATGCTCTCGCGAAGTTAGCGGTCTCGGCGATGTTTACGCATCGGCGATCTTGCCCCATTTTCGGCCAATTCCACTGTACTAGTCGACAAAAAAAACATAAATATTTCGCTAGAACTCAATTTTTTTCTATCGAATGAGTGCAAGAAACCACCCATTTATCAATTTCAACTATCCAGTACAGTGGTCAGAATTTAGCAATTTTACCAATTTCACACAAATTTCAAAAAATGCCAATTTCCGAATAGGGTCCAGAATATACAAGAAAGACATTCCTGACACTAAAATGACATTTCCTCTGTTCATTAGTCACGTCTCAAGGCCCCTCTTACATTCTTTTGCTTTCCACTTTGAATTTTTATTCTCAAAAAATAGAAGATTTACTGTTATGCAGACTACTGCATTAGTGTAAAAAATGGTATAAATAACAATGGCGTACTTGCGAAAGAATATTAGACTCGCCAGTTGATGTGTATTGGACGCTTGGCATGATTTGTTTACTTTTGAACTTTGGTAAAAATTGAACATTTCTGCTATTTTGAGCTCAATTTCAAGCTACTTTTCATTGCAAAACCAGTCAAAATCATCACAATTTCTGTAATATGTCTTCCATTCTATAAAATGAGACCAAGAAAACTAGAATACAACAATAAATACCATACGAAAATACAGTGCAAAGTCACTGTTTTATTCCAAAAAAACGGTCAGTTTTTTTTCTCATTATGCACTGTGTGCTGCAGGATTTTTTTTTATACTGTGCACACTGACCACATAGACCCATTCTTTCATATGTAGGCCTACCAGCTTTCTCCCACTAGATTTGAGGGCGCTAGAATTTAGGCGTACTAGTACGTCAAAAACCCTGGGTCATAAGCAGTACTAGTATGGCCAAAACCCTCAAAGGGTTAATGTCCGCCTGGAGATTTACAATTTCCTCAATGGATGACAATCATGCAAATTCTAGTATCATCAGCAAAGGAGGACAAGGTGCTTTGGCTTAAATCTCTGTCAGACATGAGGATGATTAACAGTATGGGAGCGAGTGCTGTACTTTGTGAAACGGAGCTTTTCACTGTAACTGCCTCTGACTTTACTGCTTACTATCACTTTGTGTTCTATTTGTTAGGAAGCTATAGAACCATCTATCGTCGTCGTAAGCTTCTCTCTTTTATGTGCGGGTTATCTGTGTATCGTTCCAGTCACGGTATTGTGCCTTTTTTTTGTTATCACATATTTTGTGATAAAGGAAAAACAGATGATCACACTTGTTGAAGGCTTTTGCAGAGTCTGTGTATATTACATCTGCATTTTGATTGTCCTCCAGTGCATCCAAGACCATGTCATGCTCTTGCATCTTTGAAAGGGTCCTAAGAAGCAAGATCACCACCCATCTAGAAACCCATCAGTTACACAACCCAGGGCAACATGGGTTTAGAACAGGTCGCTCCTGTCTGTCTCAACTATTGGATCACTACGACAAGGTCCTAGATGCACTAGAAGACTGCAGATGTAATATATAGAGACTTTGCAAAAGCCTACGACAAGTGTGACCATGGCGTAATAGCGCACAAAATGCGTGCTAAAGGAATAACAGGAAAAGTCGGTCGATGTATCTATAATTTCCTCACTAACAGAACACAGAAAGTAGTAGTCAACAGAGTAAAGTCCGAGGCAGCTACGGTGAAAAGCTCTGTTCCACAAGGCACAGTACTCGCTCCCATCTTGTTCCTCATCCTCATATCTGACATAGACAAGGATGTCAGCCACAGCACCGTGTCTTCCTTTGCAGATGACACCCGAATCTGCATGACAGTGTCTTCCATTGCAGACACTGCAAGGCTCCAGGTGGACATCAACCAAATCTTTCAGTGGGCTGCAGAAAACAATATGAAGTTTAACGATGAGAAATTTCAATTACTCAGATATGGTAAACATGAGGAAATTAAATCTTCATCAGAGTACAAAACAAATTCTGGCCACAAAATAGAGCGAAAACACAACGTCAAAGACCTGGGAGTGATCATGTCGGAGGATCTCACCTTCAAGGACCATAACATTGTATCAATCGCATCTGCTAGAAAAATGACAGGATGGATAATGAGAACCTTCAAAACTAGGGAGGCCAAGCCCATGATGACACTCTTCAGGTCACTTGTTCTATCTAGGCTGGAATATTGCTGCACACTAACAGCACCTTTCAAGGCAGGTGAAATTGCTGACCTAGAAAATGTACAGAGAACCTTCACAGCGCGCATAACGGAGATAAAACACCTCAATTACTGGGAGCGCTTGAGGTTCCTAAACCTGTATTCCCTGGAATGCAGGCGGGAGAGATACATGATTATATACACCTGGAAAATCCTAGAGGGACTAGTACCGAACTTGCACACGAAAATCACTCACTACGAAAGCAAAAGACTTGGCAGACGATGCACCATCCCCCCAATGAAAAGCAGGGGTGTCACTAGCACGTTAAGAGACCATACAATAAGTGTCAGGGGTCCGAGACTGTTCAACTGCCTCCCAGCATACATAAGGGGGATTACCAACAAACCCCTGGCAGTCTTCAAGCTGGCACTGGACAAGCACCTAAAGTCGGTTCCTGACCAGCCGGGCTGTGGCTCGTACGTTGGTTTGTGTGCAGCCAGCAGTAACAGTCTGGTTGATCAGGCTCTGATCCACCAGGAGGCCTGGTCACAGACTGGGCCGCGGGGGCGTTGACCCCCGGAATTCTCTCCAGGTAAACTCCAGTTGTCCAGTAGTTGTGAGAAGCAGGAGTGACCTCTAAACACATGCTATCCTTAGTTGTGCAATTGTTGGGTATCCAAGTGGTTGGCAGTCTTGCTTCTTAGAACCCCTTCAAAGATTTTTATGATATGGAACATTAGTGCTATCAGTCTGTAATTCTTTGCAATTGCTTTACTGCCACCTTTGTGGAGTGAGGCTATATTTGTTGTTTTTAGTGACTGGGATGACCCCTGTGTCTGTGTTCCCTGTCTATAGAATGTTTAAGGCAAATGAAAAAGAGGTTTCTTGTGGTTCTTGATGAACACAGTGTTCCACAAGTCTGAGCATGGGGCAGAGGGCATGAGAATATCATTTATTGCTTCTTCAGAGTCCTGTGGTGTTGGGATTATATCAGTAATTCTTGAATTAACCAAATTTTGAGTCTCGGTTATAAAAATTCAATTTAGATTGTCATCCCTTAGTCTGATTAACGGCTCACTAAATGCTGAGTCATATTGGTACGTACTTCAGTTTCAGTAACTAGGAACTGGAAAGACACACCATCAAGAGGCCCAGGATCTTGAGCTCAACATGCTCTAAAAAAACATAGGTTCTGTTGTTTAACACCCTTAAAGGGTGTACAGGCTGTGTTAGTCAGCACTTTGGAGAGGTACAAGAGCTGGAATTTGACCCAACTGAACAAAATGAAAAAAATTGATGAAACTGTATGCGTTTTTTTTTTTTATAGAGTTTTAGATCTGGATTCAAGTTTAAATAAAATTGGCAAATTGGCACTTACACAGGTCATTAATAATCCCAGTCTTCTCTAGGTTAGATTCACCAGTGTTGAAAGTTTGAAGTATGTAGACCAAAGAGACCAAGTTAGAGGAAGAAAATGAAAAATAAATCTTACTGTAGATATAGGTATTTTGGTTCCCTAATTACACCACTATGGAAAGATGAGTAGCAATTTGAAGTCAGAGAGCAAATGTTATTCAAAGAATTTGTTGCATAGAAATTAAAAGATAGCATGTGATGGTGGAATTGAGGTGAATTAGAAATTCAGAGAGGATGGAGCAGTATAAAATGACCAAGTGGGTGTACAAATCCAGTGTGGAAAGGAGGGGGAGTCATCCCAGTAAGTGTTGAAGGAAAAGTATGAAAGTTTTAAGTGGTAGAGACTTGAGCATCCAGCAGATATATGCGAGTGTGTTTGATCGGGGTGAGTGGAGGCAAGTACTTCAGGGATTGGCTGTGTTGTTGGCGCATGAGCAAAGTAACTTACAGGGACTTGGAGGAAACTGGTTACCTGGACTTGAGTCCTGGAGGTAGGAGGTACAGTGCCTGCACTTGGAAGGATGGATGGAGATGTTACAGTTGGGAAGGTCATTTTCATACTAATGTATGTACAGTTTTGGCAAGACATCTATTAAGGAAATGATGGTGAATGTTTCTCTTTTGTTGAATCACTTTAAATTGATGGAAGACAGCCTGTGTGGCACAAACAAAGCAGGATTAGATGTAAGAGAATTATTGCCTCAAGGAGAATTGCTCTCCATGTTGACAGTGTGCAAACATAGACTAGATTACTCTTGTTCACAGTGCATGAACCTTTTTTTTTTTTTTTGCGTGTGTGTGTATTTGCACACACGTATGTGTGTGTCCACATATGTAGTTATGTCAAAATATTTCTATGTATATGTTCACATTTTCTCTTAAACAGGGAACAGATGATCTTTATGCCATCAAGATCCTGAAGAAGGACATCATAATTCAGGATGATGATGTAGAGTGTACCATGATAGAGAAGAGAGTCCTCGCCCTAGCTAGCAAGCCTCCCTTCCTTGTTCAGCTCCACTCCTGCTTCCAGACTATGGTAGGTCATCGTACCACCACCACTCCTGATATGAGCATTCTAGGCTGGAACAAACATTCTAGACAATAGAGTTCACCCCCTCCAGGAGACCTATAATAATAAAACTAATGACTACATAGTCCAGTCTATTTCTGTCTTGTATAAAAGTAAAAGTAAAATGTTAGCTGGCCTATTTAACACAAAGAAAACTTTTATTATATATTTGATAAAACTCTACTCAGAGTGAAACAGTCTATAATGATTTTACATGAAAAGTGTCTTTCTAGTATGTTTTGTGTTGAAGATAGATGTGTAATTGTCCTGGTTCACTAATAATATATTTCTTACCAAGACACTTTAAGCAGATCAAGCATTAGATAATTCGAATAAAAGCTTGCTCTGCGATAAGTGTCTGTGTACTACCCTATGAAAAAATATGCACAAATGAAGTATAATGCGATTTTTTATTGAAAAAATTTCGACAAGTGGGTTTTATCAAGTCTCAAACAGATCTGTTTGTAAAATGATAAAACCTACTGTGTGGGTGAAACAATCAATAAAGGATCATATTATACCACATTTGTACCAATTTTTCCATCATGTCGGTATTTTACAACATTTATCTCTACCATATTACCTTATATTGGTTAGAAGGCATGTTGTCTACCAACCACTATATATTGTTATTGGTCTAGCAGACTAAACAGTGATTATACTGCTTCTCTTAAAATCTAGTGGCCTTCAATCTCCTCTAATTATTAGATTTATTTCAAGTTTTTTTAAGCAATTTTGCTACAGTTAATGATTAGTAGTTAACAGAGTTGCTCATTGTGATACGACGTCTTTATGTGATGTTTGTGTGTTGCAGGATCGGTTATACTTTGTGATGGAATATGTGAATGGTGGCGATCTCATGTTCCAGATCCAACAATGTGGCAAGTTCAAGGAGCCTGTTGCTGTGTATGTACCTATTGCATATTGGCTCCTCCTGTGACTCTCCTCGTATACTTTGGTTGAAGTGTCATTGACACTGATCAAAGAAAAGTGAGAAACCACTTGGACAGAATAATAAAATGTAGGTAATAGAGTTCTGTATATTTTGACCTCAGTCAGAGATCCTGTTTAACAGCCTCTAGGGCCAAAATATACAGATCTCTCTTTAACCTGAGTTTAATTTTTCTCTGGTGATTTCTCACTCTTCTTTCCTGGTATACCTATACATTGGTTATAACTGCATCCAGGGATCCCTTGCTTTATGCAGATTGGCTTCATGCTAATTTGCTATTATGTGATGGCTTATCTTTATCAGTAATTCCATGTGTAGTGTACACGTGTTGTGTGTTAGGTGCAGCTTGCAAAATTTATTGAAGTTCTTATTATGGAGAATTGTGTGTTGATGGCTTGAGTGAGCCTAGTACAACTTTCATGGGTTTGGATCCCATCTGTGGCATAAAGCAAGGGACACTAGTATTGTGCTTCTTTTCTATCTTAGGTTGAATTTCTCTACCTAGTGCTCTCATTAAACATACACCACTGCATATTCATCAAATAATTTATTAGGTAAAAAGACAAGTGCAACTAATCCGACATTTTATTGTGGCAACATTTTGCTCTCCAGGAGCTTCGTCAAACTGTAACGGCTTAAGAAAGCTCCTGGAGAGCAAAAGGTTGCCACAATAAAATGTCACATTAGTTGCATCTGTGTCCTTTTACCAAACATATTGTTGATAAATCTACCAACATTATTACAAATAATTTATTCTAAATATTTACAATTTACTTCTTCATGCCGACCTTTTATTTTTTGCTAATTCCAATTTACAGACTTACTGTCTAGATAATTTAATTTAACCAAGATATAATTCTCTTATTTTAGGATATATATTTAACATCTCATGAATTGATTAAATGGAATGGAAACATGTGGAATCACATGATCATGGCAGATGTTGGAGGAGGAAGGAGGAGAGGTTGTAAAGGTGTCAGATTCCATCTCGATAGCTTGTTAAGATACACAAACTGCAAGTATAGCGAGAAGTACATTGTATATGAAGAGTAATACGTATACAATTTTAAAGTAGTCTTGCAAATTTAAAAAATACCATAGGGTTAGAATTAGCCATTAATAATAATGAAATAAGGAATAAAACAATGCAGCATGCTTTTAGGTTGGGCTTTAGTGCCTCTATGTTCACTGCTTTCCTATAAATACAGTACTGTATATAAATGATTCTGGTTTGGGCTTAACTCTGACACAAACATGATAGGAATGTATTTTTTTTTTTTTAACATGTCAGCCATTTTCCACCGAGGTAGGGTGACCTAAAAAGAAAGAAAAACCCCAAAAGAAAGAAAAATAATTTCATCATCATTCAACACTTCCACCATCACTCATACATAATCACTGTCTTTGAAGAGGTGCTCAGATACGACAGTTTAAAAGTCCCTCCAAACTGCCAATATCCCAAACCCCTCCTTTAACGTGCAGGCATTGCACCTCCCATTTCCAGGACTCGAGTCTGGCTAACTGGTTTCCCTGAATTCCTTCACAAAATATTACCCTGCTCACACTCCAACAGCTCGTCAGGTCCCAAAAACCATTCATCTCCATTCACTCCTATCAAACACACTCACACACACTTGCTGGAAGTCCAAGCCCCTTGCCCACAAAACCTCCTTTACCCCATCCCTCCAACCTTTTCGAGAACGACCCCTACCCCGCCTTCCTTCCCCTACAGATTTGTACACTCTTCATGTCATTCTACTTTTATCAGTTCTCTCTGAATAACCAAACCACCTCAACAACCTCTCTTCAGCACTCTGACTAATACTTTTAGTAACTCCACACCTAACTGCCACACTCTGAATTCTCTGCATAACATTTACACCACACGTTACCCTTAGACAGGACATCTCGACTTCCTCCAGACGCCTCCTCGCCACAGCATTTACATCCCAAGCTTCACACCCATATAAGAGTGTTGGTACCACTATACTTTCGTACAGTCCCTTCTTTGCCTCCATGGATAACATTTTTTGTCTCCACAGATACCTCAACACACCACTCGCCTGTTTTCCTTCATCAATTCTATGGTTAACCTCATCTTTCATAAACCCATCTGCCGACAAGTCAACTCCCAAATATCTGAAAACATTCACTTCTTCCATACTCCCTCTCTCCAATGTGATATCCAATTTTTCTTTATCTACATTGTTTGGTACCCTCATCACCTTACTCTTATGTATTCTCACTTTCAACTTTCTACCTTTACACACCTCCAAAACTCATCCACTAACCTTTGCAACTTTTCTTTAGAATCTCCCAAAAGCACAGTATCATCAACTCCCATTTTGTATTTGATTCCCCATAATTTAATCCCACCCCTCTCCCCAACACCCTAGCATTTACTTCTTTTACAACCCCATCTATAAATATATTAAACAACCATGTTAACATTACACATCCCTGTCTAAGACCTACTTTTACCAGGAAGTAGTCTCCCTCTCTCCTGCACACACTAACCTGAGCCTCACTATCCCTAGCTTTATTGACAAGCTATTTACAGATTAAGGATTCCTAACTTTATTGACAACCTAAGAGCTGTTGCCTATATCAGCTCATTTGAAAGCATTTTTGTTATGAAACATACAAGTAGGGAACAGGATGAAGTTGGAGCCATCTGTGGGCCAGCATTTTCATCTGATCAACTGACTTTATCTCGTTGACATCATAATGCTGTACGAACGTGTTCCAGACTTGAGTCATCCTTGGAATAAATGATCTCAGATGAAGTGATGTTCTGGAGAAGGGTACAGCCAGATTGAAGTTGCTGCTTTCTGCCCATCTTGTGGTATAGAAACTTGCTTCACGCTGTCCTCGAAGTGGATCCAAGTGTGGTACTTTTACAATATTGGCCTTGTACATAACAGTAAGGCCACCCACATCCCTCCTGTGTTAAGGCTCTGCTGAAATGACAGATCTATCCAGGATGGGTCCAGGCGAGAGATGAGACGTCTTGCCCTGTTCCCTACTCTGTCAAGCAGTCGCAGATGAGAAGGGGGGCAGGCGAACCAAGAAAGTGGAGCATACTCAAGGTGTGAGTGTACTTGTGCCTTTTACAAAATCTTTCAGCCCCTGCTGTCAAGCAGATGCGAGATACGGCGAAGTGCTATAAGCTTCCTGGCTGCCTTGTTTGTAAGATTTACAACATGGTTTTTCATGGTCAGTTTGGAGTCAAATTTCACCCCAAGGATATCAACTTCTTTCCCAGGTGCCAGCACCCTCCCATTCATCTTTACTACTGCACCAGCATTACCATCTTGGCGCCTATAGATCATCATTATTTGTGTTTTCTCAGGTGCAAATGTTACTTGCCATCTATTTCCCCAAGCTGATATAGCTCTGAGCTGGTGATTGATGTAGCTTAGAGCAGCTGGCATTTCTTCTCTTGGATAAGTGAATGTCAGTGTACAGTCATCTGCATATTCATGGGATTCTGGGATGAGATGAAGGTCATTGAAGTAGACATTCCATAACAATGGTCCCAGAACACTTCCTTGTGGAATACTTGCCCCAATAGGATGTCTTGCTGATTCTGTTCCATTGAGAACTACCCTTAGAGATCTACCATGAAGGTAATCACTGAGGAGACATAGCATGGAGCCTGCAATTCCCAGAGCTTGCAGTTTTGCTAAGAGGCCCTGGTGCCTCACCTGGTCGAAAGCACCAGCAATGTCCAGTGCTACCACACAGTTGACTTTGGATTCATCCAGTGACTGGTGCCACTTAGTAGATAGGTTTAATAACAGATCAGCAACAGAGTAACCTTTCCTGAAGCCATATTGATGGTCACAAAGTAGTGAGTGGTAGTCAAAAAACTGTCATTTGTCTTGAGATTGTCTCAAGGAGCTTGCCAGTGATTGACAGGAGTGACACTGGTCTGTAGTTGCTGATTTCTGCTCTGCTCTTCTTTTTGTGAACATGGACTACATTTGCTTCTTTCCACAGAGAAGGCCATTTACACTGTACTAGGCAGTGCTGAAAGATGTGAGTTAGAGGTGCTGCTAGCTGGTCTGCACATCTTCTCAGCAATCTTGGGCTCAACTTGTCTGGGCCCACAGCCTTTTCTTGGTGAAGCAATTTAAGAAGGAAGTGCACCTCTTCCTGCCTTATTGTCACCACTGACAGTTTTGACACAGTTCTTGCAGTTAGCCAAGGAGGGTCCCTTGCTGGATTAGGAACTTGCATTTTGGTAGCAAAGTGTTCGGCAAAGAGGTCCGCTTTCTCTTGACTACTAGTAGAGGTGGTCCCATCCTGTCGATTTAGAGGTGGAATGAGTTCATCAGGCAGATAACCTTGTCTGTCCTTGACCAGGGACCACCAGGTTTTGGAGCCCACCCTACCTGATGCCAGCTTTCTTCTTGTGTCCATCTCCCATTTAGCGATGGCTCACTTTTGAATGTCACCCATATGCTTACAGGCTTGCCTTTGCAAGTTCCTGTTATAGGTGATAGGATGTCTCTTATACCTTCGCCATGCCTTGTACTGAACAGTAGCAGCCTCTCTACAATGAAAGCTAAACCAAGGCTAATCTGTAGGCTTCGTCACATATTGCCAGTGAGGAATGTGTTCTTGGTGCAGATTAAGGATGTGTCCAGTGAAGGCTTTCACTTGGTTGTCAACATTCCCTTGGAGAAGAGCATTCCAATTGGTGGTGGCAAGCTCAGAGCAAAGGGCTGGCCAATTACCTCTTTCCCATAGCCAGGTTGTGCATGTGGACTCCTCACCTCGTTCTGTTGGGATCTTAAGTGTCATAAAAACAGCCTTGTGGTCAGATGATCCAACGTAGCTGAGGGGTTGACAAGTGACTATACCTTCTGCTAGATCGCTCACTACTGGTCAAGGGAGGAGTCAGAGATGTGAGTAGGGAAATCAACAAAGTTTCTCATGTCAAATACTG